CTCGCTCTCGCTCGCTCTCGCTCGCTCTCTCTCTCTCTCTCTCTCTCTCTCTCGCTCTCGCTCTCTCTCTCGCTCTGTCTCTCTCTCTCTCCCTCTCCCTCTCCCTCTTCTCTCTTCTCTCATTGCCTCTCGCTGGTGTCTTCGGTTGCTACATACGTTGCAAGGCTAAGAGATGGCTTGGAGTCTCGGAAGGTTCGGAAGCCAGTTCGGGAGATTCGTAGTTGCTGGGATCTGAACTTACGGACCCTCCACCCTCCAGCGACCTACCCTCCATCCTCCAACGTCGCACCCATTGCAGGTCCTATGCTGGCTACTACATACCCAACTACGTGCTGGCGCAGCTACTGGGTGGGTCAGGGTCCAACAATGGTGCTGAAGCCATCAGTGCCTCGTCTTGACCGAGAGCCTGTACCTTTAAGGATCGGTGCGACCGTCGTTTTCGCCACCACACATGCGAGAGTGCACTTCGGCAGCGTTGAGCAACTTGATGCTAGAGTCGCTAGAGGATGCCTACACCTTCCCCTGCCGAAGGTATGCCTCCAAAGCAGCAAGGACTGCCCGGCTGCCCCACGAGAATCGTCCACGCTGCGATGTTTCCACTCCGCCAGGATACCCTTCAGCCTGGCGACCTGAGTCCCAAGCGCCATCATTTCCTGTCTCACTGCTTGAGAACTCATCTGTGGGTCTACAAAAGGCAGGCTTGGAGCCGTTGCAAGGGCAGTCGGCTTGCAGAGTCCTCCGACTTTCTCGCCAGTCTTCGATTCGGAGCTCGCCCAGAGGTTGTGACACGTTTTGACGTCGAGACCGGATGCTTCTTGCCCTAGGAAGAAGGGATCTTCGGGCTTTTACTGGAAATTTGACCTGCGATAACGCACCATAAAAACGTTTGTTTCGTTAGCTTGGTGGCGGTAGCAAGAACAGGTTGGCCCCTCCACGTGTCTATCATAGATGCCGGCTAACCTGATGTCTCTGGACGGCTGTGCGCAGTCTTGGCTTCTGCAGCCTACTTGGCTCTCAAGCTGGATCGGTGCTCGAACTTGGCATGACTGCTACTCGGCTGGCATGCAGGTACCACTCTGCGCAACCCTGAAGACCGAACTGTGCAGGTCAGAGATGGCACCCTCTTCGCACTTCTCCTGGTGCAAGCATCGAGCGCGTTCTCTGTCGCACCAGCCGCTCGAAAAAAAATGCGACCGGGAAGTGGAGATGTCGGCAGTGCCTTCGTACCCATGGGCTTACGTTGCCACCATGGGTCGACAGCAGTCAGGCAAGATTTTTGGAGTCTGGCACCGTGTGCCCGGAGACCTTGTCAGCTTTGACTAAGGTGAGGACGTCGGAGTGGTGCTCTGTTCTCAGTCGGTTGGTCTTTTGGTGTGGTTCAATGTTACCTTTTGGCGCCTTTCGGTGCTGAGGCATGCGAGGCTATGCTATATGCACCTATGCACTCTCCTGCCCAGCTGATTACGAACTCGCGACTCGTGACGAAGCTAACAACAAGTTCCTGTGGGTGACACCTCTCTTGTTCTACCGTTCAGACACAGTATCTAGACTCTAGACAGACCTCAGGGTTTGTAAACACAGAACCTGTCCAGTCCCATCCTCGTGTGTCTGCAGGGCAGGGTCAAGCTGTCCGCGGCTGGTAGACGGCACAGCTGGAAGGCTGAAGATAGGGTAAATAGCTTTCCTTGATGTTGCCTGTTGACACAATGACATGCTAGACGAAGCCATCGACCCAACGGCCCGAGGAGTGCCAGCGTCTCGGCTGCGAGGCAAGCGAGAAGGTCTGCACGGACATAGGCAGGGCCGTTTCCTCGCACTCGAGACTCCCAGGGCTGCGTTTGCTGTGCAGGTGTCCACTTCAGGCCTTCGGAGTGGAACGGTCACTGTGAGGATTGGCCTGGAGATGTTGATACGAGGTGCCTGATTATGCCGAATGCACCAGCTGAACAAGAGGAGTTCTCACGCGGACCTTCTTGCGTACATGAGTTGACACTAGCAAATTCGGTGGCCCTGGCAGATACGAATGCTGTGAGTGCGTGGGTTCAGAGCCGGTGCCAGAAATCACTGCGCCGACGACGTCTGACACGATCTCAGTCTTGGCTTAGGTCTTCGTATTCAATGCAGCCTTTGCCCGTGGGTCGTTGGGCATGATCGGCAGCTCAGGGCAGCGTTTGCCAAGAAAGTGACGCAGACTGCCCATCCTCTCTCAACTCGAATTGCCAGAAGCCTGGACTTGGATTCCTAAGAATGCAGAGAAGTTTGCTGCCAGAGGTTGCAAAGACGAGCTGAGCTGCCCGGAGGGCTATGAGCTCTCCATTGCCGTGCCGCTATGTGGAGTAACCCACTGCAACCAACTGGGCCCGGCGTATGCTGCAAGTGGCGTGACGGACGTCTGAGTGTGGGCGTGGTTTTGCCTCTTCTTCGTGCCTGCATTCATCGGATTCTATTGTTGCGATTTGCGCCCCGGCAAGGTGAAATCATCTACATGTCGGACCTTTGCCGGCGACAGTCTCTACGTCACCTGCTTGCAAACTGTATTTTTCGGTGCTGAGAAGATTTGAAAGTTCTGCGTAATGAAGTCCCCTGAGCTTTAAGTACCCGAGTGTATTTAGACGAGGGGATGACAAAGGATCGTGGCAGATGTGCATGCGTACTCAGTGTACTATTTCTGGTGGTTGGCAACAGATTCGTCCAAACACCCCGATCTCCTCCCCAGAACCATGATCAACGCGGGGTGGCTGCAAATACCCCTCCACGATGACAATGCCCAGCTGCGTTCCCACCCGTTGTGCAGCCCCCCCTCGCTTACCTTTTTCTTCCAGCCAAGATGTCTATCCGGAAGATCGGACGCTCTGCAAAACCTGTGAAAAGATGGCTTCTGGAGGCACCTGTGTCGCAGATGGATGGGAATCCGAAAGGGTCTTGCTTCAAGTAGTGCTTGAGCACACACGCAGTCTCGATCTGACAGGTGCGCCATCGACCCAGGACAGGGCTCTACATTATGTTGCAACCTTTAAGGTTGCATGTTGGGGGTGCAATCCCGGGCAAGCCGTTTGTGGGCGCAGTCGCAGTGAGGATGGCCCAGGAAGCAAAGTCTTATTGATCATTCGCATGACCCCCCCAGGAGAACATGTAGCTTGCGCACAGTTTCTTCACAGTGTGCTCTGCTTACATGTCCTTGTTGCTTGCCAATCATGCGCTTTGAGTCGCAGTCGTCTGCGAGTGCATGGCAGATACAGAGCAGCCAAATAGGACAGCGGTGCGTCGGACCTGTCGAAGTGGCCATGCAGCTGATGTGAAGAGGAGCCCTCCAGCACATCCACACCTGCGCCGACTGCTGCTGTCTGGGAGCATGTCGGTGATCCTGGGAAGTCCGCCTGTCGTGGCACGCGGTCCGGCGTTGAGTTATGTTATGTTATGTTGCAAAGGCGGCTATAGGGTATGTTTCTGATTTCCACGAGTTCACCGGCACCTAGCAGGACTTTGAGCTTATCAAGCTTCGGGTATCCTGTCTTCCTAGCGATGACGTGATGTCGTTTTGCTCGAGTTATCTGCGCCTGAGAGCCGCAATGTCAGGGTTGCAAGTTCTCACGAATGCTTCTTCAGTCTTCGTCTTCCGTTGTATCTTCAGTGGCAAGGAGCAGCAACGACAACTCCGACACTTACTACGAGGTGCATGACGGCATCACAGAGTTGGAGGTCACTGGGACGGTGTTGGTGTGTCGCCGTGCAGATGTCATGCCGCATGTCGGAAGGCGTGCCAGTCGAAGTGTGCGGAAGAGCTCCCGAGTTGCAAAGGCTGGCTTGTTTTTGTATGTTTTTGTTCATCCTCCGCACGGTTAAGATTGCATGTTTCCAAGATTTGGGTCTTGGTGCGACTCATGAACGGTATGACATTTTTGGCAGATACTGGCAGGCATCGAATTCAGCTATGGGCGCTGCGAGATCTGGACACGGCCCCACGGGATTTTTGCTTGGGCCGAGTTGAACATTAGCAATTTTACCTGCATGCGCTTTGGCTGGCCGACGCAACGCTTGCTACCAGCTCCTGGGCCCGTCGTTCATAGCATGGTCAGACGGGAGCCCAGAAATGGTCGCGTCAGGTGAAGGGTTTCGGGTTGCTCCGGAAGGATTGATACGACCAGCTGAAGAAAGCTTCGTCAAAGACGTACTTCATGCTTGGCCATGTACCAAGATGCAAAGGTGGATGGTGGATTTGGGCGAGCCTGTCGAGGAGATTTTCCGACCGAGAACAGCCAGAGCTTTTACGACGTGGTCGTGGCTGAGACCTTAGAGGTCCGTGCCCCGGTCCCAACGCATGCATTGCTTTTGAAAGCTTGTGGTTTGCACCGCGACTGCCAGGAATGCAAGGCCGCTTGCTCTGCAGCGCCGGTCTGCCAAGGGATCGAATTCAGCCGGGGCCACAGAGTCGTGAAAGTGATGGCATAGCTGCCAGAGGCGCGCATAGTGACAGGGCATCAGTGATTTTGGGAGGGCTGACGTGGCATGATGAAGCCTACGTACGCTAGGGTATAGCTCTGTGTTACTCGTGAAGAGGGCTCCTTTTCCTCCACCGCCTTAGAGTTTCCTTCGGTCAGGTTTGGGCCGATGCGAGATCTGGAAACGTCATGTCGGTGCGAGTATTCCGCTGGCGAACTTCACCTGCCGCTTGGCCGAAAGGGATGAGTGCAGGATGTGGCTTGCAAGTCTCTTCCCATGCCAGTTTTGAAGAATGCAAGGTCTGGCGTACCAGGAGCATGGCCAGGGCTCGATGGAGGCCGTCGACCAGCCAAGCATTGTTCTTCCCTAAAGGATGGAAATCTCAGAAGATTTCCCCACTTCGAGTTTGTGGGCTCATGGCTTTGTATAGTGGCTGCACGGTGGGAGGAGTTGTGAATGTTGTGATGCAAGCTTCCCCCGCCGCAGATGCAGTCATGCCTGCTCGCAGAATTGTTGCAAGTGGACTCCGGCATTTAGCTAGCCCTACACGGCACCAGTCAAGATCCAGGTCTGATATGGGCCGCACAAAGGCCCCAAGTGACACACTAGAAGCAACTTGCCGCAACTTGCTACCACTTGTCAGACTGATGCCAACGCAAACTTGTCGGGCTGCCAGTGCCATTGAGATCCTGTGTTTTGAAACCACAGGACCCAGAGTGTTTTTTGTTACAGCCGTAGATTCCCTAGCCCTAGATGTGCTGGCCATCCAAAGAGTGGGATTTAAAATGAACTCATCTTTGGATGCGCCGTCGCTCACTGAGCGCCAAAGGACTTAAGGAAGGCGCCACCCGAGCGATCACTCCAAGTCTTTTGGCTTCTGACACGGCTGCTGCACCCCAAGGGGCGCTAGCCGCACGGGAGCACAGCGAATTGTCAGAGCGAAGCTCGTCAAAAGATCCCGAGAGGCAGACGAGTGCACCTGTCTGCACGTGGCCGCAGGTCAGGTCTTACCGCTGTTCAGTATCGTTGTCAGTGACTTGGCTTCAGCCCCTGCCGATGTCCCGCCGCATTTTCATCGTCCGCAGCTGGGCAGCTGTGAAGTGGTTTCAGTGGAGTTGAAACGTGACTTTGCAGCTTCGGAGACTTGGGGTTCAAATTCCCTCGAACTGTGGATGTTCAAGGGCTCCATGCTGTCGAGGCCACGGGGAGCGCTCGGATGGTCCGGGGCTGCCTCCTCCACCAGATGATGGCTGGGGTCTCCAGAAAGCTTTCGGCTGTCACTGGCTGCAGCGTTTTGATCGTAAGGATTTTCAGATGCGCCCCTCACCGTGGCCGGACTCTTCCAGGCCTCTGCTGTCGGCCGAGCACGAGCCAAACCTCAAAGGCACGCTCTTTCTGCAGGCCCGGTGCACAGCGGCCGCTCTGAAAACACTGATGGGGCTCCGCGCTCAGACGAGATCACAGCACACCAGTTCCACGATGTGAGTCCTGCTTTGCAGGCCTCTGAGTGCCGCAGTGGTCTCCTCCCCAGCCCGTCGCTGCCTGCAGACGGCCAAGCCCATCGCCGAAGCGCTGCAGGCGGATGAGAAGCAGAAGCTTTGCACTTCGAGTTGGGGTGTGGCTCGCAGGCTTCACTCTATGTGGAGCCTGGGCTGGCGGATTGGAGCGAAACGAGACTGCCTGTGCAAGCGCGCTGGCGAAAGGACGAAAGAAGCACGCGAGTCTCGTGACTGTGCTCTTACGAGGTAACGCTGCCGGAGTTGGGCCTGGAGGTGCGGCACTTGGGCCCTGTTTGGGCTGAACCGCTAGAGGAGGACGGCTGTTTCCTGTCCCACGCATGCAGAAGAAGTCTCTGGCGAAATAGATCCGTCCTGTACTTTAGGAGACGTGGGAAGTGGCCGTGCGGCGGTACAGAGAGACGTATGCAGGCCTCACTTCACACCTCCGCATCTCCTTTCGATTCCTTTCGTGTCGCGCATTTTCTGCCAGCCGGAGGCTTGGCAAGCATCTCATCGGACTCAGCGGTGTCCGGACTGGTTCTTTGCAGCCACCAAGCTGCTCTCGAAGCCCTGGCGCCCGCTTCGTGGACACAGGGCCATTGTGCTTCTCAGCTCAATGTGTCGTCGGCTTCTGTTATGCTATGAGCGGCTGGCCAGTGCTCGAGGCCGTGACGGAGCTGTCTGGAATTCCTCCCGTGCCCGGATCACTGCTGCATGATTGTTCGGCATGGCGCGCAGAGCTGAGCGCTTCGACCAGCGTCCTGATCGAGGAGTCTCCTTGTCTCAGCCTCTCAGCTCAGGCCGGAGATTCGTCTTTGTGGCTTCCCGAGAGCCGCGGCCACGGTACTGGCGGGCGAAGCTGGGCACACCGACCAGAGCCAGGAAAGGTCATTGTCGAGATGCCTATGCCATGTTAAGGGTCCTACATTGTCCTGCTCTGTGGACTTGGTAGGCCACTCGAACCTCATGGAGACTTCTGGACTGTTGCCGTGGCTCAGCTCCAAGTACAGTGGGTTGCCAAATTGCAGAGCTTCCTGATCTCACTACTGAGCCCCCAGTATGGTCGTCTTGCAAGCCAGCTTATTTTTTGATGTCGCGATGCCCAGGCCATATTATGCATACGCTGACACAGGATGCTGAGAATTCTGTTCATCCCAGCATCATGTATCAGGCGCATGTTTTACTGACGTATGCCCACCCGCCGGAAGTTACGCAAAGAAGTAGCGAGGGACTCCACCCTCTCCGACGAGACCCCGGACACTGCAGCCCTTCATCTTGCTCCCTTGGGCTTGTAAAGATGGAGTCCTCTATCTGCAAAAGTGTTCTTGGATCTGTCTCCTCCTCGCATGCAGTTCTGGAGAAGTGCGTAGAACTTGACTAGAATTGAGCCCTGGTGCTCGTTGAGTCCTTGCCTTAACTTACGAGTACCCGGAACGTCGCGACTTTAAACGGTAACGGTGAAACCAGTTCAGAAGGACTCTTTCAGGAGGCCACAGCCACAGTCGGATAGGGTCGCAAGTGGTGTTTGTTTTTTGGCTGGAGTTTGGTTCACTGCCTGGCAGGCTGCAGATGTGGAGGCTCCCAGAGCTGCTTTCCATGCCTATGCGGAAGATTCGTGCACATGGGTTTTTGTGAGTATGTTCGGCTGTATGCAAAGGCTCATCTGACCGTAACCAGCTCCAAGCGCGAGCGTCCGCTTCTGCTCTTTTTCCTTGATGTGTTGCGAGCTGAGGAGACACAGACCAGGCAGGGGAGTGTGTTTTTCGCAGCTTGTCCAAGGACCGGGGAACTCATCCACCTCGCTTGCGGTCTCGCGGTTTCGCCTTGCGGCTGCAGACCCGCCTGTCCACCCATGATCCCGGGATCCCTCAAGCTCTTGGTACTCTCTTGGTCTTGTCCTCTCCTGAGGGCCAACGAGGCGGGGGAGCTCACGCTGGCGGGAGCACAGAGGCTTCGTTGGTCCTCGGGACCTGGAGGCCGTCACAGCAGAAACTTCTTGCAATCGAAACGGGGTCGCTTAGTGTTCTTCACACTCTGCTCATGGCTCTCTCTGAATGCGATTTGTGTGGATTTTGCGACGTTTTGGTGTGTTCACTGGCAAGCGAAGGGAGCACATGCCGACTGTCGGCGGAGCCAGGTGAGCTGTTGAACGACAAGGGAGTGCATCTCGCTGCTTCTTGACGGCACATCAGTTCGTTGGACAGCAAGCGCTGCAGACATTTTTCTAAAACTACTCGGATTTGGTGCGAGGTGCGAAACGGTGCGATGCCAACTCTGTGGATGAAGGAAGGGAGCAGCGACGACTGCATGGCCTTTGCACATTCGGCTGCATGCTATGATCGGAGCCAGTCTTTGTGTGCGTCGAACAGCCCTCTTGTTTCGACACCGCCACAAATCATGCGTAGAACTTCGGGGGCGGATGGTGGATTCTGTGATGCTATGTGATGCTCGTGTCGCTGGGAAAACTCCCAAGGACCTGGTGCCCCTTGGCAAGGCCGGCCTTGGCCTTGGCCCGGGCGCGCTGGCGGACGCAGAGGGGAAAGACTCGGCGAGCTGACCGCTCCCTCTGCGGATGTGTTCAGAGCTGCACCGGCAGCTCGAGAGGAACCCTTGTCGAGATGAACATCTGACACATGTTCGGCCGAAGCAGAGGCGAAGCCCATGCAGGTGGTCCGGATGATCTGGAAATCTGGACAATGGCAAACTGTTAGCAAGGACTGTCAGATGCCACAGTGATGGAATATACGTGATTTCGGGATCAGCTGGAACCCCTTCAACGACGACACGGCCAAGTATGAGGAGGCACACCCCTTTACGAAGATGGGGTCCTTCGCAATTCGAGGCCCGAAGCCTGGAACCCTGGATGACAGAAGCGAACGTCCCGTAAAGAAACGCCTGAGCTCCTAGAGCGATGGGCTCCATGTTGCAATCCGGAATATTGAGATGTCTACGCTCGCTTCGATTGCCATGCCGAGCTGAGAAGTTTTGGTATGAACACGAATGCACAATTGTACTTGGCGGCCTGTTCTAAGCCATGTCCTACAATCTTTCGATCGTTTTGTCAACGCTCATTCAAAACATACACCATCGAATCTACATGAAGGGCTCAAGCTCCTTCTCTGAATGTGTGTGAAAGCAGGTGACAGCTCTTCAGGGCAGCTGCTGGTTACTGCTGCGCCATTCATGCTCAACAAGTCCTTGGAACTTGCTGCCACTTGAGGGCTGAAGCTTGACACGAATATTTTGCCTGAGTCTTTTGCTTTGTTAATTCCCAGCCCCCGTCACCTCAATCGGGGCGTCGATTGACAGTTCGCTTCTCACACATTCTCGGAGTGAACTCCAAAGCGTCAGTCGTGGTTTGACGTGGTTTGCTTGTGCGTTTGAGAGTCACGTTGCGTCTGGACGTATGGTACTGCAGCAAAGGAAGGTGCGGCGATGCACGCTGAACACCGTTGCTGCCATGACCACGTGAACCTGCCGTGACGGTTTGGCATGGTGCTGCCCCATTGCCGGGCGCAAAACAGGTAATTTCTGGCTGCGCGAGGATTTCGGAGAAGATCCTGAGCTTCTGTGGTTCCTGGTAGGCGACCCAAGATGCTGAAAGACCGAAGCTTTCAGTGCTCCAAGATCTTGTGCTTAAGCAACCATGTAGCAGTCTTGAATGTACGTCAGCGTGACGGTCGCGTCACTGGTTCCCACTTGCCACACATGTAAACGTTTGCTCCCAGCAGTAAATCGTAAACGAGGTCACAGAAAATGTCTGCTCGTCTATCCTCGCAAAGTCATCGTTAATGCCAGTTGGAAGAAGCTCGCGCAATTAAAGCTCTTTCAGCAATCGGTGCCCAGAAGTTGCTCTCCAGAGCCGCCATGC